GTGAGTGACCCCTGGGAGTGAGGGGTCCCCAGGAGTGAGTGACCCCAGGGAGCGAGGGGACCCCGGGGTGTGAGTGACCCCTGGTGGTACTGCAGCGCTGGTCCTGAGAGATGTGGTCCCTGGAAACACGGGTCACAGTGACACAAAGACTGTCTTCTCTTCGAGTCCTCAGGAAGGGCACCTGCACCCTCAGAGAGCACACAAGAAGAGGACCCAGTGTGTGGGCTCCCGCACCTAGTGGGGAGACCTTTAAGGAGGCCCTGTGTGGGGACAGGCGGGCCCCTTCTCCCCTCCAGCTCTGGCTCATCCTTTTGTATCCCTAACCCCCCAATAGTGAGGTGGCCCAGAGAGCTCTGCAACCCTGTCTGCCTCCTCTGGCCTCAGGGACGTTAGCGGAGGGGAAGCCAAGGGCCCTTAGGAGGACTGTGAGTCTGAGTGTGGATAGATTAGGCCCTGGACATTCATTACCATCTGCAGAATGTTCCAGAATCCATAGGGTATGAAATTTCAGTTCTGGATGAGAACTGAGAACCACTGGCTCATTTCCTGATTGTTCCAGAGAATTCTTCAGCCTCTGCTCTAGGCCGTGTCGACCACTCTTTGGGAAGAGAGATGTACAGCCCCGTTCTTACTGCCCCAAGGACATGACCCAGCAGTTGGGTGACAGGACTGCTGCAAGGACCCATGGGTATAAAAGCCACAATCATGTCTGAGCCACAGTGCAGGTGCTTTTAAAGTGAAACCCTGGAGACGCTCGGGAGGAGCCGGCTGTGCAGCGCCCTGGTCACTCGGATCCATGGGGGCCAGTCAGGGTCACCACATCTTGGAAAGACTGGAGAAGAAGCGGCCCCTTTTCTACAGAGCTGTTCACATGTGCCACCTCGTGATTCCGTCTGGAAGGTTCTGTGCTGATGGTTCATGGCCCAGACCCCACAGTCAGGTTGCGGGGTACATCCAGAGGGTGCTGCGAGGTGCCCAGAAGTGGAGTTAGTACTTCTGCTGAATTATGCCACACTGTATCAGGACTCGCTACAGAAAAGTCAGTTGGTCACGAGAAGAGTTTGGGTCATTATGTTGCAATTATTCATCTAACTCTGATGTCTCTTGGGTGTGATTTCATTGTCTTCATTTTCTGTTTGCTTTCCTCTGAAGACCCCCCGAGCTGTCAGTGTATCCCTGTGCAGTCAGTCCTTGGGACACTGGAAAGCAGGCGTGGGTGCGTCCTAGGTTTGCCCAGCCTGAGGCTGGCTGTGACGAGATGCGGTGTCCAGACTTTCTACCTCAGGCTAAGGCTTGGGGCCCTGAGGAAGGTAAGTCCAGTCATGGCATGGGGACGATGGCTGTGACTGCCCAGTGTAGAAGATCCTGACGAGTCTCAAGCATCTGACAGGCTCAGCCTAAGAGAGCGAGTGCACCAGATCCCTGGTCCTGGGGGTCTTGGAGGCCCGCACCTGAACCTCATGGGCCCTCGTTGCTCGGACTCTTGGTGGTTAGGGCAAGTGAGGAGTGGGTGAGAAAGAGAGGGAGGGTCTCCTCTGAAAGAGCAGCCATCTCGCCAGGCTCTGCAGACTCGGCATCCCCCTCTGCCATCACCCACCCACTGGGTCAGCCTCTCTCAGCAAGAAGCCTTTTCCTCAGAGATCCCTAGAGAGAGTGGGGTCCAGGCTACCCGCCATCCCTGGCTCCTAGGCCAGGCCTACGAAGGTCCCTGGTTGAGGACAGAGGATGGCGCCAAGCTCAGCAGAG